TTGTAGACCGTAAATTTTTAATCAAATCAAACACAATATTGAAAATAATTGCAAATAATAGAAATAAAACTAAGCAAACTATTTAAAAATTTTCTTGTTCCAAATTCTAAAATTTGATTAAAATACGATATTATTAAAAAAAAAAGAAAACCAGAATCAAATTAAAAAAAAAAACAAAAATCACAAAAAAATTCTTTAATTTTGTTTTATGATTAGGTTCTTTCTATATTTTGAATTGTTGAGAAAAAAAACAATCTTAATTGACTTAATTATCTTTTCCTCCATAATTCCGGCAATATACATACATACATATACAAACATTCTTATAATATCATTATAATATTATTTTAAATAACCTTCCACAATAAAAACAATAATGTGAATGACGAAATAACAAGGTTTTCAAGCAGATGACTACACAGCTATTTGGATAATTGCAAGTGTTGAATATATAGAACATCAATTAAGCATAATAAACACTAAAGATTGTTTTATTTATAACATATTTTGTAATAAATGTGAGTTATATATTAATTACATATAAATTAGACTATTTATAAAAATGTTTTAAAGTCTTAATTACAACTGAATTAAACCTACATGCAAAATTTTGTATTAAAAGCAAAGGATATGATTATAATGCCGGCTAAACTGCTTTGCTTTCAGAAGTTTCTATTTCATAAAGACTTCTTTAGTTTACAATTTAAAAAAAATAATATCTACTTGCACCTAAATATACCATTAAACAAGTAATAAGTATGTATTTAACCATGTTATTCCATAACAAAATTGAGACGAAATACGAAGACGCGGCTTTAACATAAAAAGCGTATAATTATCGAACGTCGCTTCATGTTATGTAGGATCTGTTTTATAGTCACCTCATTCAGAATAATAAGAAATAGAATTGAGATATAATTAATTGAATTACAGAATAATAATTTAATTATAACAGTATAAATTACCTATAATTAATTATTATACTATCTGAATTACAGAAATTATTTGCGAATAATCATAAATAATATTAAGAAATCCATGGTTTTCTTTTCCGCTAAACACTCAAGTATATTCTAAATTCACGTCACGCTTCACATATCATAATATACACATATGCAAATATACAAGCATATAAGTACACATAAACATATTTTTTTACTAAAAAACTTTTCACCACATTTTCAAAATTTGATTCAATGAATACTAAAATTACACATGAACGTATACAAAATATACCCGTTATGTACATCTCCTCTTAAAAAAAGTTACGCAAAATTTTCCCACTAAAATAACAAAACAAACAATTTTTTTTTTTTTTTATTCCACTGCTTATAAATCAGATCTATTTTAGCGCCCTCGACACAATTCCCGTAAAAACAAAAAAAAAAAAAAAAAGTTTTTACATCTATTAAAAATGAAATCAACTGAAGAAATAAAACTTTGAATTGCAGATAACTGTAAACAATAAACCAAAAATGAAAACAAAAAAAAAAAACATAAATTTTTTTTTTCCTTATATTTACCATTGTAAAACACATTTGATTATTCTTTATACAAACCAGTGTTGACGTTTATTTGGAATATTTTGCATGGTATAAATGTGATTGAACACAATTCTCATGCAAATTATTTTAATACAAGATATCAGAAGGCAACTCATAATTAAAAATATAAAATTTTTAATTCATTTTCTTTCCAACATTTTAGATTGCCTCACCGAAAATCCTCTACAATATTAAAGTTTATTAAGAAACTATAAAATATTGAATTTTCAAAATTTGTATTGAATTGTACGTTTACGTTAGAAAACAATCTTTTGCACATTAAAAAGCATTTTAATATCGTGAAAATAAAAATTCATAACGTCAACACTGTTATCATATACATATAATATACATACTTACATTTATGAAAGAATTTATTTGGAATAAATTTTGTTATGAGATGGTGATGCATGTTCTGTATTATCAAAACGCCTGATATTTTACGTATGAGACTTTTTTATGATAAAATCTTATAAAAGTTTTTATTAATTTATTATGTAGGATTATGTTAAAAATACCAAAAGGAAACTAATTTGCTTTCTGATTCTTAGAAATTGTATATTTGTAGAAGCAAATTGGAATCGTATACATATGTGCGGAATTAATTCATACACAACATTTACATATGAAACAATGAATAAAGGAAGCAAAAATAAATATTGCATAATTATAGGCTACAATTTTATTTCTTTCAATTTTAATATTGTATTTGACGTTTAAGAATTTCTGAGATTATTTCGATATGTATAATATAATCATTTTAATAATTAGTGATAAAGCAAATTATCAATTTATTCATCTTTTAATTTTTTACAACAATCAACACTTTCCTTAAAGAGAATTAATTCTCTTTTAGTAAAAGAGAAGATTTATTAAAAACAAAAACAATTTATGCGACCTCTAACTTAACAAATACAAATTATTTAAAGCGTAAAATAACAATTTTAATAATTTGCAATTAAATTATTTGTTAAAAGACAAAATAGATGAAAGGAAAAAATTTTAATTACAAAAAAATATTTAAACTAAATATTCCACAATAAAACAAATTTTAATTATAATATTAACTATAAACAAATGATATCTGGAGGCAAAGCAAAATAGTAAATTGTAATAAGAAAACAAAAAATTTCAAAGTAAATGTAATTATTTTATCCTTGAAAAACTTGAAGAAATAATTTATGCAAAATATTAACGGAACATGCAATTATATGGTTAGTTTTATTGAATACTACAGGAAACATAATAGTATACATTCATCAATTATTGTAAGGACGAATTATTGACGTAATAACCCAAATTCACTAACCTCAATTAAAAAACAAAAAAATATTTTTATGTACAATTAATCAATTTTCTTTTTGAAATTGATTTAATTCATTATACATTCAGTTTGATTTTCATGATTTTTCGATAATGTGTCTGCAAAGTCTCGCTTTTGGTTTAACATATTTGATTTTACTTGTAAAAGTTATGGTATATAACACGTAGACGACAAATATGTAAAACAATATTAACATAATATTCCCCAAATCCTTCGAGTAAGCACATATATATGTACTTCTTTTTTAGAGCTTTATAATACGCTGTCAAATTACTTTCTAAGTGATACAGATGTCATTTCCAGTAGTTTGGTAATAATTCTAAATAACAGCAAAATTCTAAATAAACCTCTTATGAGAATTAACTGGTAAATAAAATAACAAAAATATTAATAAAGACATTTTAACTGAAAGAAAAACAAAAAAATTATAAGAAAAAACCTATCTGTCAAATCCTCTCTCCATTTGCCATATTACTTTTTTCGGCTGCGGTAGAATTTAACTCAAATTTTTGAGAGTTTAAAAAAAAAGTAAAAATAAAGAGAGTATTCATTACGTTTGCAATTGGACAAAATGTATTTTTATTAATTAAAAGTAAGAATTAAGAATACCGTCAATATATGAGTACAATAACATGCTATTACGAATGCAATGTCATCTTCCTGTCACTTGAACGTAGACATTTTCTCTACAGTTCTGTTCTATAATCGTTAATAGGTCAAAATTTTGAAAATTAAATAAAAACCATAAAGAAAATTTGACAGATATCATTGACATATATATTGAAAAGCGTCCAAAATTAAAATTACCCAAATATAACATTTAAAACGATTAAGAATAAATATTTTCAGCATTACCTTTATTTTATTATTCATGTAAAACCTTTATAATTTTTCATATACCTATCATACTTATATAAAACGCTTTATTAATTATGGAGAAAATTGAATGCTTATCCTTGTGCGAATGTATATGATTTTTTATAATTGAAAACTAAAAAGACGTTACGTCGCTCTTTTTTTACTGATACGTCATTTTCAATTTTTTTTTTGTGCTCTTCAAATTAAAATAACCATTAAGAGTATAAGAACAAAAAAAAAGTAAAAAAAAAAAATTAATAATATTCCGTTAGAAAATATTCCGTACAATATTTTTACAATCATTACTCATACAAATCCATATACATACATACATAAACTTATATATATACACACACATATTACAAAAAAAATTTTTGAGTTTATGAAATGGTAAAGCAAATGTCATAGAAATGTCAAAATAATTTTTAATAAGAAAAGTATGAAAAAAAAAATGAACAAAAACATATCGTAATTCGTTATAACAGTAATATAACAGTAATAATAATAACAATAATTGCGCATATTAACATCATTTCTTCTTTCATTTTGCAAAATTTTACTTTCTCGGCTCGGGTCTGAGATTTTTTCTCTTGCATGACGCTTTAATTTTTTTACCATATTATTATTATAAAAAAAATCCCTTTTTCATTTCTTTTTTTTTCCTTTCTATACCAAACAAAATTCAAAGAAGAACGAAAAGAAAAAAAAAAAGAGAAACAAGTAGAAAACAAGTAAAACATAAAAATATTCAATTAATTCACTTAACCTAATCAGAAGACTGACATTTTCGCTCTTTTGTAACTTTAGTGTTCTTTTTTTCTCTTTTTTTTGAATTTTTACATGAATTTTTACAAGGAAAAGTAACTCGCAATTTTTGTTAACCTTTCAGTCAAACAGGATTCAAAAATAATTACATATACATATATACATACTACACCCCCATAAATATAATATGTATATGTATATATACATTATGATTGTGTATATAGGTATATGAAACGGGTAATAATAATAAAATGGCTACAACAACAAAAAATTAAGTATAACCAAAAAAAAAAAAAACAGGAAAGACATTACAAGTATTTTCTCAACTTTTCCGGTATTATTCTGCTTACTTTTCTTTTCTTCTTCTTCTTTTTTTTTTGCTTTTCACTTTATTTCATAGTTAAAAATGCAAAAATCTTAAGGAAAACTTAACGGGGCAATATAAAAACAAAACGAGAAAAAAGAAACAGAAAAACAAAAAATAAATGAAAATTGCTAACTGAACCTACCTTTGTTATTTTATTTTATGTTTTCGCGATAATTGATGTTCAAAGGTAAAAACCCATTCGAGGAAATTTCTGAAAAAAAAAGACAAAAAAAAAAAATAAATGAATATTGTTTATACAATGAAAAAAATAATGAAAAAACAAAAAAAAAGGGAGAAAAAAAAATTCCATTACAATTTTTTCTTATTATTTTTACATATTTACTAACTTAAAAAAACAGCACCAAAAAAAAAAAAAACGATCTTAGGAGTTTCCCGAAAATTATATTTCGTTTTGTGGTTTCATCTATACATAATCTTTTACATACAAGCGCACACACTTACGCACAAATATTCATAAAATAATAAAATTTATGGAATAAGCAAAGTATAACGTATTCTCGCACCCATAACATTGTCATAGCATAAAAATATCGTAAAAATAAAGAAATTATACAAACAGGGTTGCCATTTTTGAAAATTCTTATAAGCTAAATCTTAACAAAAAAAAAAAATGAGGGTTAAGTATCAAGATAATGAAAAAAATTACCCATGGAGTAAATTTTAAACAACATCAATGTTAATATTATGAGCCCGTTTATCCGCTTTACCTTGCTTCTCGAAATGATTGAAATTATAAATTTACAGAAATTTAGTGATTCATTCATAGAAAATTAAATTGTTAGTTAAAGAAAATTCAGAATGGACCGAAAAAATATTTTCATCAACATCGAACTTTTAAAACGCACACTGCAAGTTCGACTTTAGTCATAAAAAATAAGGCAAATTTTTTGACAAATAAATAGATTCTCTAATCTCTCTGGCAAACTCTCTAGTAATTAATATTTTCATTTCAAAATAATTGCAAGATTTCAATAATGTATGAGAATATTAGTAAAATTTTTTAACTTAAAAACCTAAAAAATTCAAATCAGGGGTGGCTGAATTTTGTGAAAAAGATTTTGACTCACATTCAGCATTCCTTGTGCCAAAATTTTATTTACAATTTGTTTTCGCTTGTCTTAAAAACGTTTAATTTTTAAACTGAACTTTAATATTTAAGTTCAGCGAATAGCTAATTTTTCGAATTTTTATCAGAGTCTATAGTGTTTTAAATAGTGTTTTAATTCAAATGCTTAAAAATTTACTTTATTTTCAGTTAAAAAATTTGTTGTATTCAGTTCGGTACATGGTACCGAAATCTTTTCAATCTTTCTAAAGTCTAGACGCACAAATGATTCACGAATCAAAAGAATTTTCAACTTAAAAAAATTAGGTCTAAAATATTAATGAGAAACCAAAGACAATAATTGACAAATGTGCATGAGCAAATTCTCAATAAAATATTAAAAGTTCTTACATAAATAAAAGAATGTATAAAACGTGAATTCATAATAAAGATAAATTAAATAAACTATACATACACATACATATATACACATGTACACATACATATTTTATAATGAAATAATGAAAAAGCAATATAATGAAACTGTATGTAGGCTATAAATTTAGGGAAGGATATAAAATTATTGTTATTCATATTAACGACATAATATAGTAATGTATGTATGTATATAACAAAAATAAATAAATATAATAATTTTTCCAATGAAAATCAGTTAATTGAATTTTTAACGTTAAAAGAATTATCTACCAATATGGTTATTATTATTATTTTTTTCTCTTACTCATACAAATGCGACAACATTCATTTATGCGTATGCATAAAGATGGCGTACGCGTATACAAAAGCAAGAACATAATTTTTTGTTATTATATTCTCTTCTCTTGATTCTCTGAATCTAGAGAATCCTGGTTTCGTACAAGCATATATAGAGGCTTTTTAATGAAACAAATTTTTATTTTATTTTAATTAAATTTAATCTATATTGTATTGCATACATGATGAATTGCAGAATTTATTATACCTATATACCAATTTATATACATACATAGGCACATATTTACATGTATACAAACATGAATGAATATAAATTAAAACGGGGAATAGTAATGGGGATGAAATTAAAGTTTATGATTTTCTTTAATGATTTTATAACCAAAAATTCTGTAAGCTCATAAAAAAATTTTTTTTCTCGGATTTTATCATTTTTATCGCGTTTTTATTTTATTAGTTTTATATGTAAGTATATATGAGCATACACATACCCACATATGTTTATTTCTGCACATTTTGTATAATTAAAACACTTGAAAATTATTTTAATTCACATACTTTATCATATAAAGCACCTCTTTTCTAGTTATATGTAAGTATGTAAATAAAGTAAATAGAAAACTTACTATATTATATATATATATATATATATATATATATATATATATATATAAAATTAGAAAATTTTAAATTTAAATAAATCATATAGAATTTAAAAACCAATATTTGTGTAAAACTTTTAAGCACATTTTATAAAATTGAATAATCACAAAAATTCAACAAATTTCCCTTACTAAACGCTTCACTGATTCTCAATTTTTTTTTTTAAATAATTTTTCGTGACAGTTATTCAATTTTAAACCGCACAAATTCTTTCACCGTATTTTTGTTTTCAACCATTTTTTTTTTCTATTATTATTATTAAAATTGCTCAGACCTAGAAAAAATAATTTTTAGTTTAACTACGGTTCAATGGTGACGCGTGAAATGAAAAGTCTATATACTGTTATACACTGAAAGTGTTAAAAACAAAAAAATAACTACTTTGAATTGTTTTCAAATAAAATGAAAAAAATGTAGTCGCGTCGCGCTTCGGTATTATTTAATTTTTGAAGACTGTCTAAAGGTTTACAATTACAAATTATTTTTCTAAAAAAAAAAAAAATAAAAATTAAAAGTTAAGAAACAAATAAAAATTTTTTTTTAATCTTTATTACCAAGATAAAAAATTATAATAAATTTACTGTTGATAAAATTATAAAATGTGTGCATTAAGGTGTAAACGTACCTATATATACAGGCATTTTGAGAATGAAAGTTAAAAATTCGCATATTATTTTTGTTAAAATAAACAGTCAGTAATTGTATTATTTTTTTTGGATTTAAGTGGAGAACGTTTTAAATTTTTAAAAAATGCGGTGTAAATTTCAAGAAAATTTATAGGCAACCTTATGCAATGAAAGTTGAATTTATTATTTTAGTAGAGGCATGAATGTGAAATACTGAGATTTGACATTTTAATCATCTATAAATAGCACACATACTTCCTTAAAAAAACTTTCTTCTGTTGTTAGCTTTAATTTGTAAATCTGAAATTCTATTATTACTAAGTAATTATACATAATACACAATACACTATTCAAGTATATATATTTATGTATATACAATGTAGATAGATATAGGTTTTCTGGAAAGAAATTGTTATGTAAACTGAAACTTTTTTATTTAAAGAATTTATTTTGTATGTATGAAAAATATTTAAGAAATCGATCTTATTCACACTATTCTGTTCTAACATTGTAAAAACTTAGTAAAATTTGCAGAAAATCTTTACATCTCTTCAATTACAAAATTTTTATTTATATCAACAAAATATTCTGATAAATTTCATTTGCAACAAAATTTTTAGACAAACATTTGGATGCCAATTTTTATATACGAGTACCAAAGTTCAAACACACAATGATATAACGATAGATTTTAGACATATTTTTAGACTAAACTTTTTAAAATAATTCCGTTTTATGTAAACATGAGAGAAAATTTTTTTTCAGTTTTGCTTTCTTTTCTTCATTCTTTATTTTTTGTAATTGTTTAACCAGGAGCGCGGAAGGACCGATTTTGATAAAAAACTTTAAATCCTTGTAGGGGTCTATGGTGGCCCTTTTTTCCTCTTATATAGATATTTTAGTGGGAATTGTGTAAAATTAATCACCGGTTTGCTATTTGCGATTTCATGCTCAAGAATCTGCAACCCGTCATCTATAGACAGAGTTGGAACATTGAAAATTTCAATTTTTAGCGCCTTATTTTTCCGATATCTTGTATTAGCAGCTTATTTTTCCGCTCGCTTTTCCAAATTTATGTAAAAACAAAAACCTAACAATGAACATCTTGCCATTCAAAAATATAAGTTTATATTGATATTGACTGGTCAATATTTCGTCAAATTCGTCAAATCCGGTGGTAATATGTAAATTCTTTTAAATTTGCTTTCATCCTGGAAGTATGCAATATTTACATCTGTAATCAGTAGTATTATTGAAAAAATATAATATGTAGGTGTGAAACTAAAACCGATTCCAAAAGGTCATTACTCATTAGTGATGATTTCAATAATATGTCACATCAATGCAAAAGTATACAATCCTTTCCAAGTCATTTTAATTATTCCACTTCAATCTAACATAGTGGATTCTCTTAAAAACATTATTATTTTAAATACATTCGAAACATACAAAATTACATAAATAATACCTATATAATATTAGTATAAATATTTCTATAATCTATATACTTAGTATAGTATTAAATATACAATCAAATTAAATATAAAGTGAAAAAATTTTTTTTTATTATATTTTAATAACACCATACAAAACTTTATAATTGCATTTTATTTTTAATAAAATTAATTTTCATTAATTATTACGAGCTCATCTCTTATACAATATACATTTTCTCTCTTTTTCTCTCTCATTATATACCATATAAATGTCCAATTTATGTGGCAAGTACAAGAAAATAATTTGATGTGATAATTATTGCAGCTTACGGGTCAAATCCCACACGTTTAACTAAATTAACTTCTATATGATTTAAGGTTTTTCATTCTTTTTTTGATAGAAATATTATGTAGGTACTTCCATTATACATATATATTTATATATACACGTAATTCAAAGTACAAACACCAATTATATAATGATAGATATATTTAACTTTTATATTATATTTTTCAAGTTTCCAAAAACTTGACGGGTTTCTTGAATAATGTCCTTATATACACTTCAAACCAAAAGTTACTAATTCTATGTTGTTATGTATATGTATGTATGTATATATATATATAGAATAAACATATTTGTATTTTTATTTACGATGATTTAACTTATATTTCACTTCTAATTTAA